TAAGCAATGTAAGTTTTTTTTTCTATATCAAAAGAATCTTTCACAATTGTATAGTGAATCGGCTCTAATTATCTAGTTGTTTGGTTTAGGCTCTCAAAATCAACCAATATGATGCTGAGCCTCTGCTTCGTTCCTGTGGAATATCCATTAGCAATAACTTCACTCAGATTGAAGGACGTGTTCTTCCTCCCCCAAAGGTATTTAATTAATTATTAATAATCACTTCCCTGCTAGGATATGTGGAAATTTTACTCTGCCTTACCTTTTTTTTAAAAATTTCTTCAGCTGAAGACGGGCGGTGATGACTTTGTCCCTCGTAATGGCAGATGGAATTTCAATAATAAGGTTCAGAATTACTTCTTGCACGATTATTTACACTTGATGTATTTACTTGGCCACGTTCCTTGAGTTGCTTTATATCTCCTTTTCACATTTCATCTGTAATGGCAGAGACTAGTTGATCCCACTAAGATAGAACGCTGGGCCGTTGTCAATTTTTCTGCACGCTGCAATGTACAAGGGCTAGTCAGTGATCTGATCAAATGTGGAAAACAGAAAGGAATTGTATGTTTCCTCAAATTTGTAATTCCTTGATAACAGAGTGAAGTTCAATGACTGATCATTGTTCCTTCTGATTTCTTTAATAAAATGTTTTCAGATGGTGGAAGACCCATTTGATGTCTTTGAGGAGTCTCCACAAGTCAGGAGGGCTCCACCACTTGTGAGGGTTGAGAAGATGTTTGAGCAGGTTCAATCCAAGCTACCCGGGGCACCTAAATTCCTGCTTTGTTTGCTTCCTGAGAGGAAAAACTGTGATGTATACGGTTAGTATAATGTACATGTTCTCTTGTTTAGTAGCTTACCTTCAACAAGAGCATCTACCAAGCTTTAGGAGAGATATAAAATGTCTTATTTCAACTTGCAGGACCATGGAAGCGAAAGAATCTTGCTGAGTATGGCATTGTTACCCAGTGTATAGCTCCAACAAGAGTCAATGATCAATATATCACCAATGTGCTCCTGAAGATAAACGCGAAGGTGAGATTTCCATGCATTAGTTGTGTGCTATCATCCTGAGCCATTTTCTTTTTGCTTCTTCGCCTGACGTCTTTTGGTATGAAACATATTACTAATCATCTTTTCCTTCTCGGCAGCTTGGAGGTTTGAACTCTATGTTAACTGTTGAACATTCTCCTGCAATCCCTATGGTGTCTAAGGTCCCTACCATTATTCTTGGGATGGATGTGTCCCATGGCTCTCCTGGCCAATCTGATGTCCCTTCAATTGCAGCGGTACGATCTGTCAAGTTCAGTAGATCTTATTTTCTTTTCCTTTGCAACCAATTAAATTCTATGATTAGTTGATTGTTTTGGTACTTGAGAAGCTAATGTAAACAATATCAAAAACTGGATATGTGTTGCATTTTCCTGCCTCTGGTAATTTGTAATGGTTTCTATCTTTACGTGTTCATTGTGACCTTACTAGGTTGTCAGTTCAAGGCAGTGGCCATCAATATCTCGTTACAGAGCTTCAGTTCGTACTCAGTCTCCTAAAGTGGAGATGATAGACAACTTGTTTAAACGTACCTCTGATACTGAAGATGATGGAATAATGAGGTTAGTTTGCCTTTCAGGTTTCCCTTTGTTTTTTTTGGGTGTGTAGTAATCAGTTAATTGAAATTTCAGATGTAGTTTTCTCCAAACGACAACATAACAGGGCATGGGCCTTGTGTTTTGTAGTTAGATATGCAAGCAAACTATTACTCTTATGTGATATGTTAAGTCAGTTTAACATAACTCTTTACACATTCTTGTGAAAACAAACATGAGAATCTACATTTAATGTCTGATAGGAGATCATCTGTGCAACCACTATTGTAGCATTTCCCAGAAATAATTAAGCTACAAAATTGCAGGGAGGCGTTGCTAGATTTTTATGTGAGCTCTGGAAAAAGGAAGCCCGAGCATATAATAATATTCAGGTGACTTCATTGGTCATTTCTTTTATTTCAGTTGATACAGCTAAACGTGTGTTATCTACAAGTGTCATTCTGTTGTGTAAATACTTCTTTTCTAATCATTGTTCTGTTGAATAAATGCTCACATGAAATGGTAGTAGAACCAGAGTCAATGGTTCAAACAAGCACAAACAAAAACTTCTAAGTAATGAGGTTTGAAAAAAATCTTGAACTGTAAAAGTTTTGATGTACTTGAGATGGAGATGTTACTTGTTACCTCATCCGGAGTGAACTGCGTAAATCGTTTGTGGTAAGGTCATGTTCTGAATGTTAGGTGATGCTTATTCTGGGTGAAATTTTGTTTTAACATATTATGCACGTCTTTGTTGGCCATGTAGACCAACTTGATACTCCTAGGTTTGACTTATGTCCTGAGATAAAAACTTATGTCAATAGCTTCTTGTTAAATTATATTTTTATTAATTCTCTTGTTCAAAATTTCAGGGATGGTGTCAGTGAATCTCAGTTTAGTCAAGTTCTGAATGTTGAGCTGGACCAGATTATTGAGGTTTTAGCTGATAAATGCTTTCTTGATGTATATTGAGCTTGACTTGGGGAAACCAAGGTTGTGCTAACATCATTATTTTATTTATTGATTAATCAGGCTTGTAAGTTTCTTGATGAGAAGTGGTCACCCAAGTTTGTGGTGATAGTTGCCCAGAAGAACCATCATACCAAGTTTTTCCAGCCTAATGATCCTAACAATGTTCCTCCAGGTACACCACTGGAACATAGATACTTGTAGCAACTATTGTACTGGATGAGATTACTTAACAGAGTCACTTTGTGCAGGCACAATCATAGACAACAAAGTCTGTCACCCAAGGAATTATGACTTTTACCTGTGTGCTCATGCTGGAATGATTGTAAGTCGTTAACTTCTCAACGTATATTCATACATTAGCTTTCGATCTCATTCTAAGATACTTTTAGAGCCAGAAGTATTAAAGTAATGGCCATAGGAATGAGCGCACCATGACATCGTAAGATGTCTTGCCCGAATTTAGACAAGTTTGTCTGCCTTAAAGTCTTTTTTGTGGTTGCGTTGTATTTGTCTTTGGCATTTATTTTTGGCAAGACAATGTTATCCATAGGATTCTGCAGAGAATTTTTGCATTTTGTGTCAGCTAACTATTTGCATTGGGACGTTTTTGTCCTAGAATCTCTAGCTCAACAGTAGTTCAATGCTTTAGATAATAGTGTGTTCATCTGCTGAAAGTTTTTGAATCATTTACAATTAATCAATCTACTATTTGTGGTTCCCCTAATGGTAGTTTGTGTTTTGACAATGAATGTTTTGTAGGGTACAACTCGTCCTACTCACTATCACGTCTTGTATGATGAGCTGGGTTTCTCTGCTGATGATCTTCAAGAGCTTGTTCATAATCTCTCTTATGTGTAAGTATATTATTCAAGTATATCTTATAAATGGACTTGTAGCTGTGCTATAACTTTCGAATTGATAGCTTACATCCATATGTTTTGCTTTAACAAAGATTGGTATATCATCCCTTGCAGGTACCAGAGAAGCACCACTGCAATATCTGTTGGTAAGACTCATTTCCCTTGAGCAAAATGTTTTCCTGCATAGAGCACTCTATTTTTTTGCACTCACTCAATTCTGTTTTGCTTAAATGCAGTTGCTCCTATCTGTTATGCCCATCTTGCTGCTACTCAAATGGGACAGTGGATGAAGTTTGAAGATGCATCAGAGACTTCCTCAAGTCATAATGGAGTAACCAATGCTGGACCAGTCTCCGTTCCTCAGCTTCCAAAGCTCGAGGAGAAAGTTTCCAGTTCTATGTTCTTTTGCTAAGGCGCGTAACGCCTTCATGCTTTTCTTTTTTATGTGTGGTTTGTGAATAGTTTCTGGTTCAAAACTCTTTTGAGAAGACGGTGGTAGTTAAATATTTTGTCTAGACTTAAATAGGTAAATCACTCTGCTAAAAGATTTCACATCTTTTGGCTCTGTGGTTTGCTATCTCTTTTAACTTATCCTGGATCATGTACTTATGTTTTGGTGGTGTTTTTAAGTTATGGACATGACTAGTAGTTTCTCTATACTTGTGCCTCCTTCCATTGCTTTTGTTTTATCAGTTTTGTGTTTATAAAACTTGTTAGCTAGTATTACCAGCAGGTGTAATGTGAAAGATTTTCACCTTCATCTCTCAATTGATTTGAATGTACTTTTTGAGAGTCTTCAAAACTGTAGGCGTATGCTTAATTTTCGATTCAAATTCGTACCAAGTAGCCATTATCAAATCTAGTTGAAGTAAATCTCATTTGTAGCCATTATCAAACCTAGTTGAAGTTTTGTTCTGTCCTATGAAAGAGCTATTCGTTTTACTACACTTTTTTCGATGGGAGATTTTCACTCCTATTTGTTTCATGAGTTATGTTTGTTGAACTTTCCAATAGATATACAAAATCTCATGATTTATGGGTGTACTGAATCTATCGCGTAGTTAGCAAAATGACACAGGAGAAATATTTGTGTCATTGAAAAATGTTATTCCTTTGTCTTTTAACAACACTCGAGAGCTCCTATTTCGAAAGGTTTTGTTAATGTATTGTGAATCCTAAGCCAACCGCTAGCGCGACAAAGAGCAAAGCGGAGCTTTTGCTTTTACAAAGAAGCAGAAGGGAAGGTGCAACGGTTAGCATCCGAGGAGTGATCCTCTCGTCAACATTGAAGCTTCCGCTTTTGACAGTACTCTACAAGTCTGCACCTATATAGTGAAGTCTGCACCAGAGTGCGTTAAAGCGAGTTGATGAGCTAATATAGAGAGTCTTGATGGTGGTGTATTGTCACTTTTAAATCTGTAATTAGAGATTCATTGTCCCTCAAGAAGAGTTAAAAACCCAATTGAACAAATTACATGATCTTTCAAGATCATATTATTTAAATAGAATCACTCTGCACTTAAATTATTTCATCCCACTCATTAGAGACTAGATACGTATTAATAATAATTGCATAACATTTCAAATCCAATAAGTTCCATAAAATATCAAGTGCATGTATTTTAGACTGGCTGAGTTAACAATTCTTCTAAATTCATGTACCAAGCATATTTAGTCCTTGTTAATACTAGTTAATGACCCTCCTTTCATATTAACCTAAAAGAACAACACAATGTTAGAGATATGAACAGATAGATACAAAAGCCAAGCTTATTCCCAGTCTTCCCTGCCTGCTTCTGCAATTGTCAATAGTTAGTTTCTTCTACGTCCCGGTGGGGGCATGGCATTTCATTCTTCTACCCATTTCAAATTGTTGAAAGCAAAGCAGAGAGGATCAACTCAACCGAGTTGGAGTAGTCGAGCTGGGTTAGAATATGTAAGATGGCTACTCAATGATGACAAAGCACTAGACGTCGTTCTCATGGACAGAAATGTCTTAATATGCACCTTCACCATTCATCATTCTATAAAACATCAGTAGAAACAATTCTTCTGCGTATATCTGACCAGCATTCGTCTTGACAAGACTTCAACTTCAAATGCCAAGAGAACAACCTGCTCATCAGCCCCTGGATGGAAAACATCAAAGCTACATGGCATTCTTGTTTGGATTCCACCCACTTCATGAATGTTACAAGATAATGTTAAAGAGATCAAACTAGGATAGAAGCACTTCCACTTCCTCTCTATGGGTCAATAATGTTTAAGAGATCAACTAGGATAGGAACACTTACCCTTCCTCTCTATGGGTCAAATAATGTTAAAGAGATCAACTACGATCTATGTTGCTCGGACTCTTCAAAAAAGCCAACGGATGCATGTCGGATTTGTCAAAAGTAGTGTATTTTTGAAGAACCCGTGCAGCATCAACAGTGAAGAGTCCGTGCAACTAAGACTAGGATAGAAACACTTCTACTTTTAAGGTTTAAAATTGCCAGGAACTATGGCAAACTCCCCAACCCCCATCACCCCCAAAAGCAAAGAGGAAGGAAAAGAAATCCCTAGAGTTATTTTGTAAACCAATTTTGTGGAGTAATTCAGAAGATACATTTCCCCCTTCACCAATCACTATTTTAAGGCTAAAAACAACACACTTTTGAAAAAAAAAAAAGTAACGCCACCGTGAATCAAATCTTTACCTATTAAGCACTATAGAAATTCAAGTGATTGCGACGTGGAGATAAAATCAGCATTCAATGTATATGTAAAATGTATCCTTTACCCCCAGCCCCAACCCTCTACACCACAAGCATAACAAGTATCAACATGGAAAAATTGGAGGAAACAGAAGACACCTGCAGTGAATTGCCATGAACATCGCTTTTTACCTGCAACAGCAATTGCTACATGACAATCCTTAAAACAAATTAGCTGATCAATGTGCTCATTACTTTATTTATTTATGAGATGGAAAAGCAAAAGTTGCTTGTTATGAGACACAATCCAGTGTTTTGTGGAGCAGTAGAAGAAACCATTCAGAAAATAAGATGATGGAAGTTGAAAAGAAATTACTAAATATCTAAAATACTGGTGAGACAAGGAGAGGATACCCTACCTTCTCCTCAATACTTTTAAGATAGAAAAATTTAGTGCAAAATACTACATAGTGTTTAAAAACATTCACTAGAATAAAAGTACTTGAATAAAAAAGAAAATACACATTGAAGATTATGGTCTTTAAACAAAAGATAACTTTTGACATAGTAAAAGACTTCATTTGGAGAGTGCCCGGAACTTCAGAAGAATCACCAGTCCAAAACTAAAAGTTTGATGCATTTATGAAGGAATCTGCACAGTGAATAGGTAAAACATAAAAATCGAAGTAGAAAATACTTTTAGCAGAAAAAACCATGAAATGCATCTGTAAAAGGTACCTTCAAAAAGTGAAAGACAAGTTTAAAGATACTTCTTTTATGTAACACAGAAAGTTAACACTATGGTAACAGACATACAAACCAAATGAATATTAGCTGCAAAACTTATAAACAAAGCAACAAATCGATTATCTTTACCTCACTTAGGAGTAGAGCCATAGCATTATAGATACCTGTCCAAGGAAACAGAATGGAAAGAGATATATAAAATTCTAATGCAATTTGATGAGAACATTTTTATTACAAAAAAAATCTTTTTGAACTTCTGATAAAGGCAACTTGAGGTTATTTTATCATGATTTCTCCTTCAGTAGAGCAAAGTTGTGGAAGAACCAATAATCAGCATTAAGTTAACAATTACTATAGCCAAGTTTCACATGCATAACATCTCTTCAAAGACTTCCTCCTAAATAATCAGATCAGACATTATGCTCCATTCCACCTAGATTATCAGATTTGAATGTAATTCTAATCACTTAAGCAAATCAACAGGATTTTATTTTACTCAAGTATGCATTACACACATTGCTTATAGGTACCCCAACCTTTAAAACCAATAATGATCCGGTACATTTTGAAATGGATACAATTTAAGCAAATCATTCATTGATCACACGTACTGTCAAGATCGTAGTAAGAAATTCCATGTGAATTATGTATATAACTGATAGAAACCAACACACAAGGCATGAGAAAGAGATCACACCTTAAGTTTTCCTAGTGACCTCCATAGCCAGAGTATGGTGCACCACCACCTTGTGGTCTTGCACCACCCTGCATCTGTGGGTTTTGGTATGGCATATGAGGCTGAGCTCCATATCCACCCTGGGCACCATATCCTGTTGCACTGTTCACCACTGGTTGCACACCCTGATGACTCACTGGCCCACCAAGACCTCCAAGCAAATTACCGATCCCCAAACCAGCTCCTTGTGTAGCTAACAGCGCTGTCAGTGCCTGTCCAAGAGCTGGGGTCACAGCTGCCACAGCAGGATTGTATCCCACAGGTGCAGGCCCCGATGGTGCCATCAGATGCCCAGCTGATCCTGCACTGCTACCTGATTTTTTTGGGATAAAGTAACAATTTTTAATCAAATTTATGACAAAATCCATTATAAAAGCTATACAAAAAAATAGAAAACAGTCAGAGAAGCAGAGTTCTTCACTACCTGAATATTTCCCCTTCTTTGCAGGATGCTGATAATAATGCTGCTGCTGATTATGATGATGATGATGCTGAGGGTAATGCTGTTGTGACTGAGGCTGTTGCTGCTGATGAAAATTCTTACTATGCTTCGGTCCATCAATTGCCTTCTGACAATGAAGGGTATGCCCTTCAAAGGTCTTATGTGGCTCCTCTAATGCCTTCCTAGCACCCTCAACAGTCTTATACACAAACAAACAGAACCCCTTAGGTTTCCCACTTTGCTTATCCAATCCAAGTGGACCCTCCTCAACTTCACCAAACTTCGAAAAGTACTCCAACAGCTTCTGAGGTTCAAGATCAGCAGCTACATTGCTAACAAAAATCTTCCTTTGTGTATACTCCGAAACCGGTGCGGCTGCTGTAGAAGGTGGAGGAGCCGGAACCGGCCCAGCAGAAGCCAACTGGCAAGAAGTCATCCTTGTACCAATCTTCTTCTGTGGCTCCTTCAAAGCTTTCCTAGCACCACTCCTATGCTTAAACAATATAAACCCATAACCTTTCGATTTCCCTGAAACCTTATCGGCAACAGCTTTACAATCCTCAATTTCACCGTAACTTCCAAAAACACTAGTTAGCGTTTCAGCTGTTGTATCCCAACCTAAACCATGAACAAAGATTTTCCGGTGTGCCGGATCTTTATCAGCCAATTTCTGAATATTTTCTTTGAAATCAGGGTATTTAGCTAAAGCTTCTTTAATAAGCGCTGTAAGTTGATCCTTCGTAAAGGGTTCTAACAGATTCTCAAGTGGCTCATCTTCCAAATCCTCTTCATTACCTTCCTCAATCTTCACCTCAGCGCCGCCTCCATTAACTTGCTCCGACTTTTCATTATCACCCTCTACGGCGTCATTTCCAGATCCAGGCGTTTCTTCTTCTTCCTCATCATCTTCACCGCCTTCTTCCTCTTCTTCTTCGGGATCTTGTTCTTCTTCATCCTCATGTACTGCTTCTTCTTCCTCTACTTCTACAGCATCGTTCTCGTACTCTTCTTCTTGTGCGGGTTCAACCTCAGGTTCTTGCTTAATCTCTACTGGTTCTTCAGCTGGTTGTGAAGGTTCAGAAGCTCTGGTTTTTCGCTTCTTCGCCATGGAAATAGTTGAAATTAGGGTTTTCTGATTTGGGGGCTAGGGTTTCCGGGAGAGAGAATGATAAGAGGAGTAGTAGAGCTGATATTTATGGTGGAGGTTTGGATTTGGTTATCGGGTCGGGTCAGGTATGATAAGAATTTTCGATAAATATCAATAGCTCAATTGATTAAAATAACGATAATAATAATATATTCATTAACATTTTACGAGCGGAGTTTTAGGAGAATAGAGTATATGAAAATTATATTAACATTTCACAAGTGAAATTTAAGGAGGATACAGTATACGCAAATTATATTTCCCACCTCGTGGAGGCGAGAAGACTATTTTCGAAAGAATATAGAAAAAACAACGTATATGCAGATTGTATTTTCTATTCGTGGAGGTGAAGGAGATATTTTTTCGTGAATAATTTAGAGTGGAGAGGATAGATTATACACATATTGTATTTCTACTTTTGTGGACGAGAGGAGGCTCCTTTCGAAAGATTTTGTAGAGGATAGATAGAGTATACACAAATTATATTTTAATCTCGTGGACGTGAGTAAACTATATTAAAAAAAAAATAATGAAAATAAAATATACGCGGATTATATTTCTATCACGTGGAGGTAAAGAGACTATTATAGAAAGAAGGAGAAAGTATAGTATTTCCTCATTTCACACTAGTTTAAACATACTAGTTTGTTTTTTTTCAAAATTTTTACACCTCGTATTATTATTGTATCAAATGAATTATAATATCTAGTTAAACTATCAATTATCATATTTATATATATATAAAATTCAACATGTTTAAAAGTTTCTAAATACTTTTATCGAGAATGTTTTTATCTCATTAAACAATTATTCGTTTTTAAATCATATCAATAACGGTTTAAACTAGGGGTGGGCATTCGATAATTCAGTTGGGTTTCATTTTTGTTTCTTTCGATTTTCGATTCTTGTACAATGTGTGCTGAACACCGAATTAAAATAATCCGGTTCGATTTGGTTTTTATTATTTCGGTTCGTTTTTGTTATTTCGATTTTTTTAATGGGCCTGCTTAGTTGAGCTTTTAAAAATTTACAATTTTTTTTGTTTTTTCAGCTTAATGGACTATAAATAGTTACATCAAAAAATGTGTTTTGCTTTTTAATTTTAAATTATAATATTTATTATTTAACATTAATAATTAATATAATATAATATAAATATATATTATGATATAATATATTTCGGTAAACCGAAATACCAAATAACACAAAATTACATGTCGAAAACTGAATCAAAATACCAAAAAATATAAAAACAAACACCGAATATCGAACCGAAAATCGAAAAATCAAAACCAAAATATCAAAAAAAATCGATTCAATACGATATTTCGATTTCCCGATATTTATGCCCAACCCTAATTTAAACGTTAGATAAAATATTTACTCTCTTACATTCTTTATTGATAGCATATTCAAAAAGCTTATTAATAGCAATCGTTTTAAACTTCATAAATTTGCTATATATTTCATTGCAATCCATAGGCATGAATTATTTTTTCAATTTTGTATTTGTAAATAATAAAATACTACCCTATAAATTTTATTAGTTTAATCACATGTTGATTTTAAAAGATAATAGGGAACACTTTTTTTTTTGTTTAGAAATTAAGATTAAATTAAAAATAACATCTTTTGGTTCTAACCTTCTTTAATTAAACAATTAAATATTCCTGTCTTTTTTAAAATTTGTCACATAATATTAATGTTCAAATTTAACATATTCTTAACTTTACAAAAAAAATTAGTATTTAAAAAACAGAAAAAACTTTTTGAAATTTTCAGAGTCTAATTACCAATTGAATCATTTGTTAAGTATTAATATGATTTAACTTCATAGTTTTCTCTTTTTGTATAATATAATACCATATTAATATATTATTTAAACATGTAGCAGAAAATATAATAAATAACATAACATTGATATCTTCATTATTATATTAAATTCAAATTTTTGTATTTTTTATGTGTACATATTCTTGTCAATTAAATTTGAAATCATTAAATTTAAACTTCTATATGCTCATGAATACTCTTAGGAATATAAACATCCAGGGATCGATTCAGATATTTATTTTTTTCGAAATAAATTATCTGTCAGTAAATATCTTAAAAAAAAATTTCATATTCAAAATATTTAAGTTGTAACGAGAAATATAACTTCCTTACACAAACTACAAGGGAGTTAAAAAGAAAACAAAACATACGTAGCAAACGTTGTTATTACGAACTTAAGCATAATCTATACTTTCACAATACTTGAAAATTTATCGTTTCATTTTTATTTTCGTCTTGACTTTCTCTTTTATAAATTCAAGTACTTTTTCTTGAAAAGATCGCACAACAATCGATAAATAAAAATACATACACGTGAATTTATTTGTTGTCTCGATAACAAAAAATTTGTGAATTTTTTTCTCCTTCCTCACTATTTTACGAAAAAGTGAATGTTGATTTATTAATACTCCCTCTGTCCGGTATTGTTTGTCGTGTTTTCTATTTTTAGAGTCAAACTGTAAAAACTTTGACTAACATTTTAAGATGTATTTTTTCATCATATTAATATGCAAAAAGTTGTACTCTATAATACTTTTCATACAGTTTTAGAATATCTGTTTTTTTTAAAAATATCGAATTAATGTAATCTAATTTAACTTTAAAAATTAATCAAATTAACTTTCGAAAAGCACAACACGACAAACAATTCTGAACGGAGAAAGTATTAACTACTTACACAACCTACATTTTGATTGTTAGCTATGTAAATAAAATATAAAGGATTCTTCAATAAAAAATAAATAATTTGTGTTTGGCCCATTTGTATTTATCTTTGGCCCTTGAATTTCATTTTATTTATATAATATATTAAGTCTAAGTATTTATTCATAAACAATCAAAGAAAGTCATAATTGACGTTAACGTTAAATTATGAATCGTGCTTACGTATTATGTTATTATATTCGATATTTAAAATCCGGGTCAATACGAAAGCGAAGCCTGACCCGGAATCCGAAAGGATAATGGGCCGACCACATCAACATCTCCAATTTACAAAGAGAAAAAAAAGAGAAAAAAAAACAGTTTCAAGATTTGAGCAAAATACCAATACTGATACGTGGGATACTCATACGATTTCAGTTTTTTTTTTTTCACTAAAAATTGATTCTTCCTCTTCTTCTGCCAGGTAATACCCTCTTTCCTCTTTTTTTTTTTTCAATAGTTTTTTTTCTCACTTTTGTCTTGTGGGTGTTTGTTATTCAGTAATTTAGTACTATATAATCTATGTTTTCTGTTGAGTTTTTTGGGATTTTTGTTGTATCTTGTGTTGTTCTGTAATGGGTCTGTGTTATTTCTTGCTATTACATCAAAATTTTATGTGGGGTTATTGTAATTTGTAAGATTGTGGGATAAAAACTTGTTCTTGGATATTGGAAGGAACTGGAACTTAATGGAACAGAATTAATTTAATTAGTTTGATGTATATAGCTGTATATAATTGTGCTGCATCTGGATTTTATGGAAAAGATTGGGCTTTTGAGAGTTTTTGTTCTTGTGATTACTAGTTTAAGAGGGAGGTTTAGAGTAGGGGATATTCAAGAGAAAAGGAAGGCTTTTTCGATAGTGAAGATTGGGGACGGGGATAAGAGGGGTTGCTCGGATGGTAACTACCTTCCACCTCTAACCTTTAAGTTGTTGGTTCGAGTTACCAAGAGAGAAAAAGGATAGGAGGAGCTTTAAGGTTGGAGGGAGGGGTTAAAGAAAAGAAGAATATTGGGGATGGGAAAAAGCTATGCTTTTTTGGTTTAATGGTTAAATGAGGCTTGATATGGTTATTGTAAAGAATTTTGTGTTCTTGTAATTATTCCAAAACTGGTTCAGATAGTTTAAGAGTAGGGGATCTTCGGGAAAAACTGAGGCTTTTTGATAGTGAAGATTGGGGATGGGGACGAGAGGGGGTTGCTCGGAGGGTAAACATCCCCCACTTCCAAACCTCTAAGATTGTGGTTTCGAGTTAGCAACAGAGCAAAAAGGGTGGGAGATCCTAGGGAGGGGTTAAAAAAAAAGAAGAAGATTGGGCGCGGGTAAAAAAATATTCTTTTTGGTTTTAACGTGGAAATGGGGCTCGATACATTTTTTTTTAAAAAGAATTGTATTCTTGTAATTATTCCTGTAACTGGTTCATTTAGTTTAAGAGGGGGGTTTAGAGTAGGGGCTTTTGAAGAATTTTGTGTTCTTGTAATCATTCCTATGACTGGTTCGAAGTAGTTTAAGAGGGGGTTTAGAGTAGGGGGATCTTCAACTTTGAGAAAAAGTAAGGCTTTTTGGAAGTGAAGATTGGGGATGACAAGAGGGGTTGGTCGGATGGTAAACACCCTCCACATCCAACGCTATGCTTGTGGGTTTGAGTCAACAAGGAGCAAAAAGGGTGGGAGCTCCTAGGGAGGGGTTAAAAAACAGAAGAGGATTTAAAACGGGTAAGAACCCATTGTTTTATGATTTTAACGGGGAAATGGGGCTTGAGTAGAGCAGAATGGATATGGAGGATTCATTAAGTAGAATTCAACTAGTTTGGAATTAGGCTTTTGTGTAGTTGTATGAGCCCAATACCTAATGTGTGGGGTTAAGTGCATGTCACTATGTTGAACCGGCAACTGATAAAAATCGGGTATTTAGGCTGAGAAGGGTAAAAGGGCTGGCCATTATTTATTGAGTTTCTGATTGAGCCCTAGCGGGTAAAGGGTACAGGATAAAGGATTGGTGTGTAGTTGATTGATTGATTGGTTGTTGTGGTCTTAATGGGGATGATCGAGGATTTATTTCTTTTATAATTGACCATGAATGTTGTTTTTCAACAGAGTAGGTTTTTATTAGGGGTTTAAGGTTGGAGATTTTGATGATTGGGGATTCAGACCATGAATTCTCATGTGAGTGGGCAACAATATCATTTACAGTCATTGGACAGGCAAAATTCATGGTTTAACCTTACGCTTTACGAGGTTGAGAATCAGTTGGTTGATTTAGGTAAGCCTCCGGGCAGTATGAGTTTTGATGAGTACTCACAAGTCTCAAGTGTGTGGAATGCAGATTTAATTCAGACTTCTGGAGGAAATATTGATGGTACTTCCACTGCCACTTCTTTTCAGCATCAGGCTAGCTTAACTCTGGCAAGGGTGATTAGTAGTGATACAGTTGATAAAGTGTGGGGAGAGACATACAATAAGGGCAGAAGGTGATAAATCTTGAGGAGATGAACAGCCAGGAGAGAGAGCTAACCCTTGGTGAGACTACTTTGGAGGACTACTTGGTGAAAGCCGGGCTTTTCGTTGCTGATGCTTCTTTAGGACATACAATGTCATTGGATAATCCTACGGCAATGCAAAATTTTGTGCCTCCAATAGGCTTGTCACCATCTCCTTCGCTGTCTGATACACCAGTTTCTGACCGGAAGAGGGGTGCTATGGACATCGATAAGACTATTGATAGGAGACTAAGGAGAAAGATCAAGAATAGAGAGTCAGCTGCACGGTCCCGAGCCAGAAAACAGGTGTGCTGCTGGCTGGCAATATTTTGCTTGCAACCCCAGTTTGCAGTTACATTTCTCATTTTAATCTATTCATTTCCATGGTGTAGGCTTACCACAATGAGCTGGTGAACAAGGTGTCACATCTGGAAGAGGAAAACATGAAGCTTAAGAAAGAGAAGGTAAGGGTTCTCTCATTATGTATACTGAGGCTTCAATTGTTGGATATATCTTTCAAATAAGAAACATTTCTAGTGTTTTCTTGTGATTTTATTCATGAGCTAAGCAAGTTGATCGACAACTACTTCTATTCCATGTGCCATTTTGCCAACATATGCAACTATGCCCTGTGCTATTTGTCTGAAGTAACCTAAGAGTATCTGATAATGGATAGTTCATTTTAAAAGCTGACTGTTGTTGACTGTAGAAAGATGAATCTTCTTAGAAGTGAGATAATTAATTTTAAAGGGTAACCAGGATGATAATAATCTTCATTCTCCTTCTGAGAGATATCCTATCTATCTGGCCTCCTAAGTCTTGAAAACAGGGGTCAAAAGTTTGTATATTCAGGTTATCTTGCTTCATATCAAAGAAAGGTAATAAACACACCAATGTATCTCTTCTCAAAGTAAAAAGAGTCTTCTTTACTCTTAGTTCCTACATGTTAGTTCCTCCAGAAGTATGTCATAAAGATAAAATGGGAGTGCTAAGATCAATGAGTTTACATATATCGGAAGTTATCAGTTTTTTTGATGCATGCTAAGAAAGAAAATGTGACTTGGGGTCAAGTAACTTCAAACTTGGTTCTAAGCCCATCCCCCAAATCCCCAAGAGTCAATCGTACTGACTGTGTGAATCTTTTTGCCTTAACTTGGAAAATGCAGAGTTGCATATTCTCTACATTTGTGCTTAGTTCATAGACCATTTGTCACAATGCTTTAAAGATATAGGATTGAAAATGCTTGATACGGGATATATTTTTAAAAAATTGTAAGGAAACATTAACTAGGCTAGTACGTACATGATAACCAATTGCATTTTAGTAAGTGTAGATAATGCTTTAGAATATCTCCAATATAAATAAGTACGCATCTAGTGTTCACTTACTTGTGTCATGTGTGTTGTGATGGATTGTTTGGTATCACCAGTGTCTTTGAATAGTTTAGTGGAGTGGAGATTTAGACTACTATGCTTTTACCAGTCAAAAAGAAAGAATACTGTGCTTTTACTCAGAAAAGGATGTTTGCTTTATAATACTAATGCAAAATTGCCTTTCTGAACAATTGATGCAATGGTTAGAAGTGAATGCTGCCTTTTATGATTGATATGGTGTTTTTGGGATGCTTGGTGGACTGATGATCCTAGATGCATGTAGTAGTACACAGTGACTGAATGAGTTTCCCTTCCGTAATTTCTTGTTTGTTTCTTGTTGTTTAGAGGTGAGTTTACTTTGGTACTTCCCTTTTTTCCTTCCTCCCCTGGTAGGCAAAGTGATATTTGCTTCCTTAGGTTATAGAAAAGGAGAAGAAAGAGGAGGTGTAGGAAAGAGTTGGAGTTTGGGCTTGGACTTCCATGTTTGAGGTTTCAAGATTGAAGCCCCTTGCTAGCGAAAGCAAGGGGTTTGCCTTCTGGGTTGAGCTCATCGTATCGTGCTTACCTAGTGCGGGTTACCTCTCCTATGTGGGGTTTTTATATTGTGCGCATCCCAAGGGTAGCGGCTGCAGGTTTCCTTGTCATAAAAAAAAGATGTCAATTAAATAAATTTAATCTTGATAGTTCTTGGTAATTTTATGATCTAACATTCGTTTTTTTCCCTTATCAGTATTTTGTTTCACTTTTGGTTCATGTTCCACGACCTTTTTCCATGCGTCTGACTGCATCATAGTGCACTTGTCAGTTTTGAAGAGAATTTCCATTATGCTAAAATTTGATCTCGTGATAGTTTGGTTATGGGAAGAAACCTTCTGATTGTTTGTTTACGGACTGACATGATGAAACCTTCTTCCTGCTAACTCCTTACTGCTTGATTGTTTGGGATCAACACATTTGAGATTTTTTTGTCATGGCAAGAATTGGTTTTTGCTTTGCAATCCAAAAGTAGGCCTTTGGGTGTTATGGTGTTTGTTGATCGCTTCACCTTGGTTCAGGCTAACATAAGGACTTATTAAAGCTTGTACACTTTAGCCTCTTTTTGATGTATTTTTTTTTTCTTAGTCTCTTCTCTCTAGGAAAAAAGAAAGCCTGAGCCAATAGTGCTAGTGATTGATTACAAGGAGCCTGAATCTGTAGGGATATAGAACCTTCTTATCTACAAAATCGAGAGTGGATGAGGTTTTTGTGCCATAGGATTACTATTCTAAAAATCAGACCTTTGAGTTACACACGTTTGGTATCCCTTCAAAGTAATTATATTTGATATAAGATGTGTTACAAACCTTCAAACAAGTGATCAGTGATACTGGTTCCTTTCTACATGACATTGGAATTTCCATCACATATCTTCTCAACAACAATATGCCCAGTGTGATCCCATGAGCGTGGTTTGGGGAGGGTATAGTGTACACAGACCTTACCGTACCTTGTGAGGTAGAGCGGCTACCCGTGGTAGACCATCAGCTCGAGATATATGGTATCCATGCCTTCTCAGTAACTGATATATGGGATTTGTGAAAGATCTATCTCTGATTGGTATTATTAGTACCAAATTGTACTCTTTCCGAATCATCTGTTGTAGTGTGTGTGCAGCTAATGCTAGATCCGTTGACCATTTTAGCTCTCTTTTTAGTGGTAGTGGGATGGTTGGGATTCCTTCTGGATGGGGAATGCTTTACTCGCTTGGTAGACCTAACTGGTACAACGCTGATTAGTCAGGCTAGTGGGTTTCGGATACTGAACTATTAAACCCCCCCCGAAAAAAAAGATTTAGTGGACATTGATGTGGATGTTCTGTTCTTTCTCATATTGTCAATTACCTGGTAAAGCAGTACAAGTTACTCTATTTGTCTGATCCTTTCGCTAGGAAGTAGATCCTTTCTTTCCTTTCAAATTTTGTGTTGTCTTAAAGATACGAGTACCTGTTTTCTGTGGATGCTACAGTTGAGTTCTGTAATGTGGTGATTCAAGTTAATCGTCTTCAAATTCAGACCTCTCGACAATGTTTGAACTTTAGGATTTCAAATAGCTAAATCATTTTTCACACCTCCTGTTTTTTCGAATCTATATGCCTTCAATACTTTTCCTTTTTCTTGTAACAAAGTTGTTCGGAAAACAGTTGCAAGGCGTGCAAATCTGAAACCATATAGGCATGACATGAACAGTAGTTTGCTCGCCTTTCTAGATGTCTTGTTATTTAGCTTGATGGTATTGATATCAGTCCAAACTCAGCAAAACGCGCTACATCTACATGTCACAAAACACCGCCTTTTCTTATTTCTGTTCTTAAGTTCAGCATACCAGCTTGTTGTCTCTTTAACGACTGTTACTGAACTCTTTTACCTTACACAGGAACTGGAGAACATGTTATCCGAGTTGTCGTCTGAACCAAGATATCAGCTAAGACGAACGACTTCATTCTGATCGAGTTCTTTGGCAGAAGTTACTATAGTCATTATAGATATAGGATTTGTGTATCCTCTATGAAACATCTTATTAGGTAGTTGGGAGATAGATGTTAGAATGTTTGATCTTTGTTTTTATCTGTATATGTTTATAGATGCACATGAAAAAACTGAAGATGAAATGGACTCTTTACTATACTGTGGTCTTTTTTCCTTGGTAAACAAATTTGCATTTTTTTTTTTGAAAAAACGAAGGCGATCGTTCGAGAAGACGATCGGGTATTCAACTTTATTTATATCGAGCGATAAAGGTATTGATATATCGATAGTTTTTCGATTGTACCCAAACAACAGTACTCTCCCTGTTCCTATGTAGTTGTCCACTTAGAAATGACACACATATTAAGATATCAATAATCAGTATAGTGAAGTTATAATTTTACCCTTATTAATTATAGTTTCAAGAAAAAGATTGAATTAAAATTTGAAAATTTTCAAGAAGTTTAAATGAGGGTATAATAGTAAATTTTTTGTGTTCTTTCGTGATTTATCGAAATGGATAAGTAAATAGGGACAAAGGGAGTATTAATATTTTAGAGGGAAAAACAATTGAGATCGACTTTCTTTTTAATGTTTTAAGCACATGTATAGGAGTTTTGATATTGAATTTCATATCATGATTTGAAATTTTAAGATGCAATCAGCATTTGGAATGCAATTTTATTTCATGCTTTGATTCTCGAGAAAAAATTGAATCTAGAGTTTTATATTATGATTTGATACTTTTTTTAATATAAAATTGATCCACGACTTTATATTTTGTAAAAGAAAAAAAAAAGAAAGAAGATTCATTTTTATATAATACCTAACACTTTTTTTCATATATAAATAAAATTATGGTTGAGTCATAGCTTGTGCAGTACTATTTACTTTTATTCACGGAATATGAACATGATAATATAATTACTAATGATATTGATATAAGCGGCTAAGTAAAAATCTATGAGTTCAATCCTAAGTCCAAACGAGTTCTAAATGATATTTTTGTTACATTTTAGGTATTCTGAGTTTAAAATCACAAGATTTAATCGGGCTTTAATGTGGTACCGGACACCGAATGGAAAATAAAAAACAAAAGTAAATTTTAGATTCAGCAAACATAAAAATCATATTAGTATGCCATAGTTATAGTTTGCATAAGCAAACATAAACTTTGGATGTTTCCTATGGAGCATCAAATTGTATAAATTGACGGCAGACTTCTCGTTTGTATAAAAGTGCAATGATTGTTTATGTATATCAGTTAGATAATTGTGTATATGTAACTACTAGGTATATGTATCAATGATTGTGTATGCATAAAATTTGAACTTGTATACAATTGAATCGAAATAAAACATTCGTATATTAAATTTCTATCTATCTCTTGCTTCATAAAAACACAAATTATACAAATATGAGGCGAGAAAGCGAGAAAGGTAAAAGAGAACCATGCATAGAAAGATCTGTATTTGTATAATTAAAATATATAGAACGAAAATATATGAATTTGTATATACAATTTTCTCTCGCTTTATACAACAACAAATAACAAATTATGTTTGCATAAAGTGAGAGAGGCGAGGAGAGCTGCGAGCGAGATTCTCTCGTGAGAGAGGCAAACGAAAAGATATGTATATATACAATTCTCTTCCGCTTTATACAAAGACAAACATAATTTATACATTTGTGGTGTATAAAGTGAGAAAGGCGAGAATAGACTAACCATCGAGATCTAGATAGTGATGAGTGAGAAATCTGGGAGAGAGGCAAATGACAAAATACTAGAAACTATGATTATAATATTTAATTTTATTTAATAGTTTGCTATTTAATAATTTTCAAAAAAAAAAAATTTAATTTTTTATATTTTTTTTTTCAATTTATACTTTTTTTTTTCAAATTTCATGGACAAATTTGCCCTTAAAATGTCGAAAATAATACTTTTTATGATTTTGTTTTTCAGAAATAAAACATAAGAATGCAAAACCCCTGAGCTTCACTCTTTAATCGTCAAAACAGCGAGAGGACTTGCCGGTGAAGATCGGAGATTTCGCCGGCGCCGGATATTTTCAATTTTTCACACCTCGAATTTCAAGTATGTATCCCTCTCTATCTCTCTCACACACAGTGTAATTTGCAATTGAACGGAATGGTTATAAGGGGGAGATTAAGTAGTTAGGTATTGAAATGGAGAAAAATGGTTATGGAGGATTCCGGCAGCTGATATTAACTAATTTGGGATTCTGAGATGCATTTCATTGATTTGTTGTTTGTAAGCGGAAAAACAAAGGCATCTCATGCTCCCAATTTTGATTGATTTAGCTCTTTTTTTTTTCCTATTGATTTTTGTATTTTGCAACTGTAACTTGCTAACCAAAGGGTGCAAGTTGCAACTTTATTTCTTAACTGTGTCCACCAAGCAAGTCATGTTCGATCATGACTCTAACCCGGGCCATCCTAGTCCTTTTCATAGGCAGGATGTAGGCATTACTGAACAATGAATTAGCTAGGGATTCAAATGGATCAGCAAAATGGTTATGGAGGATTCATATAGCTGATTCCAACTAGTTTGGGATTCCGAGATACAGTTGATTTATTGTTTGCAAGCAAACAAGAAAAAGGCATCTCATGTTCCGAATTTTGATTGATTGAGCTCTCTATTTCCTCTTAATTTTTGTTGATTGCAACTGTAATTTGCTAGCTAAAGGCAGCTCATTTATACACTTTTTACCTAAGGGGGCATTAACTAGCTAGGGATTGAAATGAAGCAACACGATTATGGAGGATTCATGTAGCTGATCCCAACTAGTTTGGGATACGGGACATAGTTGATTGGTTGATTGGTTTGTTGTTTGCAAGCGGAAAAGAGGCATCTAATACTACCATTTATGAATGAACTTTTTGAGATCTCTTATTTCTTCTTGATTTTTGTTGTTTGCAACTGTAATTTGTAGCCAAATGCAGCAACAAGGGCTCCAATTGTAAATGGCTTTTCATTTTGTTCCATATTGTTCTTGTGATTTTTTAGTTTTCTCTACTCTACAAAGGTAGATGTATGGTCTGCACACACCCCACACCCCAAGATCTCACTTATGGGACTATAGTGGGTATGATGTTGTTGTTGTCCCGTATGAGTTATGAATTTCTCCAATTTTTCCTTTCTAGGATGCATTTGGTATAGATTTTCCATGAAAAAGGTTTTGCCATTTGAGAAGTTTATATATAAGAGTCATTTTCTAGCTTTTGGTTGGATATATATGTAGGTGAGTTTGGTGGTATTTTTGAGTTTAGAAGATTGACAACAATGTCTAATTGTCCTATAAATCAAATGAAATCAAGTAAGAGTTGAGATGTTGATAATAACGGAAAATGACTGTCCTAGGAGAACATAGTTTCTAGATTTCAAGGCAACCAACCACTTAAAAATGATTTCATCCAGGAAGACATTTAAAGGAGAAAACTTTTCATCGTTGCAAACACACTTATAGTTACTATCATTTTTTTCCCAAAATTGTCTGCGTGATCTGATTCTTCCAAACTGTTTGTTGCCTTGGAATAATCTATCAGTCCTCCATTGGTCTGACATTTTTTTTTCTCTCTGTTTGTTTGGTTGTCCTTGTCTAATTCTTTTATCTTTTCATTTGTATTGATGAAGTAACCATGTGTCAGATCCTACTCCTCAAGTTACCTACTGAAAAGAAATAAATATTGTACTCTTCAGTCTGCTATCAGAAAAAGACAAATCTCATTTTTTTTTGTTGCTTTTCTGATATATCCAATTCATCAATGATGATAGATTGCTTTTGGGTCTGGCAAAATTTAGTGAGGAACTCTAGCTATGTTTGGGTCCTAGCCTAAATGAAGGAAGTGGGTTGGAGCAAGTTGAGGGCAATGTAAAAGTCGTCATAATGAGATGAAATCTCTGAACATTTTATAACAAGGCATAGTTAATCAAATAATGTTTAGGAAAAATTTCTGCCCCGATCTTGCTGTTTACCTATTTGTGTTGTTTTATCTCTTCAGAGCTGTCAAGTTTATCCACGGTTATATGTATACCATCAGATGCTGGTCCTTCACAATAGGTTTTTCTTTCAAGGTAGGAAAATAAATGTTGGCAAAAGGCAGAAGAGTTGCTGGGAAGGGGGAGACAGTGCCTGCAAATTATGCTTTTGGCCCGCTTGAAGATGATTCAATTATTAAGCATAGACTTCTCACTCGCACAACAACCACTAGAGGTGAACCCCCATTGAAGAAACTTCAGAAAAAGTTTACTGCTTTTGCTTTGGAGGTAGAGAAGGAAGCTGATAACTATGGTGATTGTGAAAGACTTGCCAAAGCTTTCTTGCAAGAGCTAAATACATTTGAGATTCCGCTCCTAAAGAGCAAAGCAGTCATAGATGCAAATCTTAGAGAGAAGGAGAACTTCAACGACCTAAAAGATGAGATAAATGGGCAAATTTTACAAGCTCAGGCCGAGATAGAAGATCTCAAGAGGCAACTTGAAGAAAGCAAGATAGAGAGGAAGCACAAAGAAGAGTGTGAGTCTATCAGGAAGTTGGTTGCCATGCAGCCTCCAAGATCTGAAACTCAGAAGGTTATTACAGAGCTTGAAAAAGAGATAGCTATGTTGGGGGCAGAAAATACTGCTAGTTCAAGAACGTTGGAGCTTCGTAAAAAGCAATTTGCACTTCTATTGCACGTGGTGCGTATTCTTCTATAAAGCTCGTCTCCTGATTTATGCAGGGAGTTCTAGTTGGAAATTTTTGATTGCTTCTATTGAATTATGATTGCTAGAGTAGACTCTAGAACTAAAGAGAACTGACATAACACACTAATGAGGGACAGGTCCACAACTTCTTTAGAGAAACAGGATAATTCTCCTTCAATAAGCTTTTCACTTTGGAATTCATATTTTGCATACTTCCTTTATGTACTTTTAATCTTTAAAATCGAGAAAATACACTAACTTTACCTGACTTTCCCTCTTGGCTTTAACTGTATCTTTTTCCCGTATTAATGTCAACTGTCTAATTTTACTAAAGTGATGGTTTAAGTCTGGTGAATTCATATGAACAAAGTGATCATCATCAGCAGGTGAAAATTCCAGGCTTCTCAAAGTTCTTTTTGCATGCTTCTAGTACTACTGGTTGTTTTTG